CGAGGTAAAAAAATTACTATGCTTAGGTTACCTGCTTGGAACCGTTTCCAAAACTACTTCTTGTGATAATTATATTGTATTACCTATGTTTTTATGTCGTTACGTTTTATTGTGTGTGAATATCATTTGTTGTACCTCTAATTTTTTCATGTTATATACTTTACTTTCCTTTTTAATTATAATTTGAACTCTGAATCATGGGTTTTGTTTCTTAACACGTGAAGAAATCATAATACCTTCAACTGCAAGAGTTTCCTCATTCAGTGCGGTGAAATTGAGAATAATTTCATACTTGGAAATTTTGATGCTATAACAATGCTGTAAAAAGGTGAAGAGTTATGGCGTGTTTTTGAAATTTTTCATCTACATTTTTTAATTTTATTTAAAAAGAACGAATTTCAACGTTCTTATAAAAAAAAATTGAAATGTACATAAAATTAATTCTTGAATATTTATTGAAATACAATTTGTGTTAAAAATATATTGGTCAAAAACATGTTTTATTTAGCATTATTAATTTAATTTAACACTCTAAGTATGATATCTACCTTCAGCATTACATGCCAAAGTTGCTTTCATGTGTGTCCTGAAAACCAAAATAAGACGCTTTCAAATTTAACTTATTTTTTGGTGTGTTACTGGGAAAATTGCCGCTATCTTGTCGCATTAAAAGTCTATGCAGGAGTGTTTAGAAGGAGAAAAGTTCGACGACTGCTGCTGCTTACGTTCAGCGTATTGATGAATGAGTGAATCTCGGCGAGTTCAACGTCTCCTGCAATCCTTAATGAGTATTTAATTGCGGACTTGAACCGGGTCCAGTTCAAGTTTATTCGACCGAGATTTCATTAGGTACTTTAGGTACTATCCTAAATCTCCTCAGATAATTTGGATATGGGCAGGGTCGTTTATTTGGACACAATTCATAGAACTTAACGCCAAGAATCGGATTTTTTACCCTTTCTCCTCCTCCTTACTCACCTGTAAAACACAGCTCTGCACCCCTGAAAAAATATACGGCACTCTATTCGACCCCCCCGCCCACCCCCTCCTATCTAATCAGCGTTCTTTGGTGAATTTCGGAAGAAAAATCGCCTGCTTGCATTAATTTTTGACCTTAGAGTTAGATTTTCGACAAATTGGCACTACGCGCCCACTCTGATGTTATACATTACGCAATCCTGATCGCACCCCGCCCGTATTCTACCGTGCTAAAGAGAAATGCCGTATAAACCTCCAGGCGTTGCCATTTTTCGGACAATATTTTTTGCACTTTAATCCAGAATATCTGAAAATTTCAAGGTAAAATATGCATAACTTTCCTCCAAAATGAACATTTCATCGGAGAAAATATGGCAACTCTCGAATGTTTATACGGCGTTATTCCTTAGCACGGCAGTATTGCAGCCGTAACGAGGCTTTTAGACTTCCCTCCTTCCTCCTTGGAGCGCCACTCATTTTATGAATGGCTTCGGAGGACACAAATGTAGATTAAAGGTTACTGATGCGAATTTTTTCGAGGTGTTCTCGGTTGAATCAGTTTTTTTTAAAAGGTCCGAGGCCCATTTTCCCCCCTTTTTTTGGCATATTTGATCTCTCCGGATGTCATTACCATACCAGTCGTGAAAACAGCGGTAGTCCCCTACTTTGAACGCGAGTGACAGACGCACAAAAACGAAAATGCCGTGCCAAAGAAAAACGCCGTAAGAGGATTCGAATGTTGCCAAATTTCCTCTCACAAAAAAAATATTGTTCAAAAAAGTTGAAAGTAATATTTCTTAAAATTTCAGACACTTCAAATCAAATTACGAACAAAATTCGCTGAAATAGTGTGAGAAAAAGTGTACTAATTTCGCCGAAAAGTCGTGATTTTTCAAAGGAAATTCGACATCGTCTGATGGGTCTTACGGTGTTTTACCTTTGAAAGACAAGGTACGGTGCTTATATTTCACCACGAAGAGGGGGATCGGGAAGAAGGGGAAGTTGGGGGATGAGGAGGACGGGGAATGGGGGATGGGGAGGATGAAGGATGGGGAGGATGGGGAGGATGGGGAGGATGGGGGATGGGGAGGATGGGG